TGTGCACTGTGCTAGTGTGTGTGCGCGGACTGGTGTTCTGTGTGCACTGTGCTTGTGTGTGCGTGGATTGGTGTTCTGTGTGCGCTGTGCTAGTGTGTGTGCGTGGATTGGTGTTCTGTGTGCGCTGTGCTAGTGTCTGTGCATGGACTGGCATTCTGTAGAGTGTGTTTGCGTGGAGCACTGTGTCATCTGCAAGTGTGTGTGCGTGGACTGGTGTTCTGCACACTTTGTGCGAGTGTGTATGCATGAAGTGGTGTGCTGTGTGCGTACGTGTGTGTGTGTGTGGAGTGGCGTGCCGTGCTCTGTGTCCGAGTGTGTGTGTGAAGTAACATGTTGTGCACTGTGTGTTGTGTCTGTGGTTAGAATAGATTCTCAGCTGGATATGGGCAGTACCTTCCACAGGTGTGGGGTCACACGTGTAAAGGCTCCTTCACACGCTGGGTCTGGTCTTCAGAAGGGCAAGACAGCCAGAATCAGCAGATTTCAGAAAATGCCAGACCCAGACCGTATTCATCAAATAAGATCTTTAACATTATCTAGGGCTAGACCACCCAGTTCAATACACGTGTGCAGGAGAATCTTAATGCTCACTCTGAACTGCACAGAGTAAGTACATAATTTTAGTTTGGTCTCAAAGTCTTTATTATAAAAAAAGGTTATAAGACACACTGGCTACAGTGTTTGTTTGTACTATGGTAATAGGGGGACAGACGACAGATGCAGACAGATGGAAAACTTAGGTCCACAGCAGTGAATCATGAATTAATCTACTCATGGTCACTTGCAGTCTGAGGCTGTGTACTCCATGACAAGATTCAACCACTTCAGAGACATACATTACAACTGGACTAAAAGTAATACTGATATGGTTTGACTAAGAAAGGAAAAAAACTAGGATGGCACCACACTTAACATACACATAGCAGTAAAAACACAACATGCTCATTCAAACAGTGTGTGTCCAGTTTCTACAAAATCAACAAAATTAAATTAAATTATTTAAGCTTATGCATTTGTTTATACCAGACTAAAATGACTTTTTTGAAATGGCAAAATCTTGACCAATAAGAAACCAAATCTGCTAAACACACTGATTGCTCCAGATATTCTGATACCAGGATCTCTCTGACCTTTTTCTAAAGGTTATCATACAGAGAATAGATATAAAGTCTGGGTGATCTTTTCATCTTTCATTTTTATGAGTTAATACGTCTGCTTTTTTAGATATGTCTTACAGTTAAAGTAAACAGAGCTGTAGTATGTCAAATTAAATTAACTACAAGGCATTCGTTCGCAGTAGGTTGACTGTTTGGACAACTTCTTGAAGCCTTTCAAATACCTCATTTTGCTTTGGTAAACAGTAATTAACACCAATTTATTCAGTGATTCTCTCAAAGAAGTGAGGAGAGGAGAATAATTCATTTATTGTGTTTGATTTATATATTAAAAGAATACTGCACCCCCCACAAAAAGCTGGGGATTCTAATTATTTTGATGCCGTTTAGTTTGATGTGATATTTGCTCATCAAAGGTATGTGGGTCTCTTCACAAAGTTTACAAAGTATCAATGTTAAAAGGGACTAAAAGAGGTTTACAAGAAGTGTTTCTCTAAACATGAATCCCCTTTATTTCATTTTCTAATAATTCTTCACATTCCTTCAATGCCTTTTAATTTTAATTTAAAAACAAAATTGTTACCATACTATCCTATAGAAACCTGGTATTGGCTTTAAAACTCCAGTGCTGCCCATACTGATATTACTTCTTTAATTATCTACCACCACTTTTCGCGCGAGGCCACACATCTAGTTTATGTGAATTGTGGGCGAGGAGGACGAAAGGTGAGTGATAACTGCGCTAATCGAAAGCATCATTTTAGAACCCTTCATGGCTTCTTACCTCCAGACACGGGGGCATCCATAAACACGGCTCCCATTTTTTCAGCTGCTAGGGCCATTTCCTTGGAAACTGCAGGATCAATAGTGCTGGAGTCTATTAGCAGCGAGCCCTTTTTCACTTTCCTGCAAGAGAGTTATGCCCAAGTCATGACGCGTTATGAACAGGTTTATTTAGAAGTTTCTCAGGCTCTACAATGCATATGGCTGAGCGACTACGGTTCGGGGGGGAGTAGATGCTCAGATCAAATTGCCTCGGTCTGCGGAATGGCATCTGCATAGACATTATTCTCCATTCAGAGGCTCTGATATGAATACGCTTTCTGTAGGAGAGATAAATATTCACAAATATAACCCAGCGTCCTGCTGGAGGCTCTTCATACAGTAAAATGGGACTCTTGCAGGTCTTGAAGTAAAGCGTTCTCCTCTGTTGTCCAACTTTGTTTGTTGTTTTCCATGAAGAATGCAAACAATTTCAAGTGATTTCAGTCACTGACTTGGTATATCCTCCTAAGGTCTTTTCACACATATCTTGACAGTAGGATGATATCCTCAGATCAATCAGCTACTTAAAAACACACGAGCTAGATAAGATGAATGGCCTCCTCTTGTTAGCAAATGTTATGTGCTTTCAGACTCGGGGTCGCCCCAAGGTCAAAAGGGAAACCATGTGCACGCTGCATTGCATCTGTAGCGTGAGAGAGGGTCTCAACCCAGGTAACACTCACTCCTGCACCCTGCAAAATTACAGGGCTGTAAATTTTCAACATGGGGTACAACATGCACCTCAGTTAGGAAACTGGGATTGCATTGGAACAGGGTTCATTTCGCCCTCAGCTGAACAGTCAGCAAACGACAGCTTTGCAACGGGCGCTTTTCACCCTTCTCCATTAGAGAAGTGGCCGAGATGGCAGACCGTACTAATCCAGCCTTCGTTTGCAAAACAAACCCAACAGTCAGACACCAACATGTCCATGGAGAGGATGAACATGCATACACGTGGATATGCGTGTACTGACTGATTTAATCCAGGATGGCCGGACGCATGTTGCCCTGTATCTGGTATAGCGAGGACACGGTGAGCAGAGGGGGCTCAGAGCAAGGCTGATCTGGGGCTGCACCTCCCTGTGAAAGGCCTGTTAGTCACTCTCACTCACGCAGCTACCTTTACTTCAGTGCTTCAAGGCAAAGTACCCTGAGCTTCAAAACCCTGGCACGGGGAAAGGATTGCCTTTCAATCCAGAGCAAGGTGATGCATCACCCAGACCTACAGTCTCAGCAGGGGCTCCAGACAAGCAGAACAAGGCCTGCAGCTATGCTGCTGAAGATCACATGTACAGAAATCTGTTCAGCCTGCCACACACAGTAAAGGACACCAGCACCTGCAGGTGAACTGTGTAACTGTCAAGTAACGCAAGTAGATTACAGTACAGTATGTACACGCACGCAGACAGAAGAGCTGCATTAAGCTCTGTGTAGAAGCAATGGAAGAGTGACCAGCCAGGCCAGACACTTGCTGCAAACCTGGGGCTTCCTGTTGGGTGTAGCAGGAAGCAGGTGCCCAGGTGCCACGAGGAAGAAAAAGGACAGAGCAAACCTGCCCTGCTTGAATCTGGTTCCCTGCATCACTGAAGGCCAACTGGTTATGTGACTTAACTGAGTCAAAGGTTATATCCAGTGGTCAGCACTGATGAAAAATTAGCTCCTTCTGGCAGATAACATATATTCAAAAAATAGTGTACGTCTTAGCTGATAAAAAAAATACCAAGTCAATTAATTATCAAGGCAACTTATACAACCTGAAACCCTTCCACTTCATCTGCACCATTATCAAAACCCTACTGCCTTCATCAGAGTGCAAATATCAACAGTATTCAGTAAAGAAAGTCAAACAGAAACACAGAGCTGAGCATTATGTGGAAGCTGTTTTTACTTATATGTCTGATAACTAAATATCACAAGACAAATTACTGCAATTAAATGCTAAACGTCTAAACGTCACCAACGTCACCAACTCCCACTACTTCCCCTGCTTCTTTATTCCCTGACTGGAACATCCTGGGTCAGGGGTCACTGAACTCAAGAGAACCAGCCTGAGCTTAGCAGCTCTCTCACCAACAGGGATGATTTTCTCACTGTGCATCCAAAATATTCAGGTCTTAAAATTCCCATAAAGAGCCCCATTCTGAATTTTCAATTTTGTTTGGTGAAAGAAGTTCCTTTTTAAATGTTTATGCCCCTGATGTACACCCCATGCACAGGGCAATTATTTTGAGGAGTATGGAATACGCTTGAAGCCATAGGATCAGTTACCCACAAGCGACCAAATCAAAGGGGCTTGATGGACTAAAGGGCTGATCTTTCCTCTGAGCTTTCTTATTATCTTAAACAAGGGTCTCCATCAATTCATATTAAAATAGCAATGCTTTTATTTTTACTAAACAAAAAACTGCTAAATAGCTGAGAATGTTTACTTATCATGGCACCTAATGATAGAGAGATGAATTCTGAAGGTACCTACTTTAAAATGCCATTTGGCCCTGTATATACTTCTATCACATTGGGGCTGGAGGGCAGCATTGTGATTATTCTGTCTGCTTTGTCAGCTACTTCAGCTGGAGAATCGAGGATCTGAAGGGGGACAAAAAGGCAACAATAAATACAACTTGTTTCTTTTAAAAAAATAAATACAATCACTAAGTGCTTCTCACCTTTAAGCGCTTTTTGTCTCACGTATAGAAAAATATACATATTATTTACATTTAAGAAGAGAAAACATGAATTGCGTAACAAAAATATTAATATCAGTCAAGAGAACGAGAGAGAGAGAGACCTGAATGGGTCAGTCTATGGATATGTCTAAAAGATAATTGAAAATATTTGTTCTATACAGTGAGGCATAGTTTACAGGCTTCAGATTTTTAATTATCATCACGCAATTTTGTGATGCATTCAACAAAACCGCTTGTCTCACCTGTGCCCCCATGTCCTGTATTTCTTTGCAGGACTCTGGGAAAATGTCCGAAGCGATGACCGGATAGCCGTGTTTCAGAAGGTTTTTTGCCATGGGATCCCCCATATTCCCCAGCCCAATGAAACCAACTGGGGTTTTAGAGGCCAGGGCCCTCGATGACACTAAAACAGACAGACAAAAGCAGAAGGTGATTCTTCTGAGGGATGGAAGGTAGATCAGAGCTCTGACACTGGCTTGGCCCTTCAGGGAAGGATCCTCTCAAAATGAAACTAGGAGCTGGTGGAGTCTGGAGTTGATATCTTGGTTTCTTTCCAGAAACGCTGGATGATGTTCAGCTGAACAGCCTTTCCCCCAGTTTGTGACTTCTCTCATGTTCTTACCTCATAACTATATATATAATATAATCCACTGCTTAATGCAATATAGTGTTCTGCTCATAGTATTCAGGATTGACATACTGTAAGAGTATGAAATTACAGAGAAGTCTGAGCCAAATGTCATTATAAATATAGTGTAGTCATGTGGAGAGGCAGTCCAGTTACCCTGCCTGGGAGAGTTCCAGCACTCTGCGTCAGCTGGGACGTTACACTGTACTTAACAGAAAATAATGGTCTACAAACCAGCTTATGTACAAAGACTTGAAAAGCTTCAATTTGTCTAACTCAAAACTTGTATAACTAAAATCTGTCTGGAGTTGCATTTTAATATTATGTCGATGAATAATATAATCGCACAAAATCCCACTGGCTCTTCTTTACAGTTCTGAGTGGAAGACTAGTGCACAACGAACAACTTATTTGATACCAACATAATTAATTACCTTATAGCAGTACCTTATAGCATTATTAAAAAGCACTGAAATAAAGACATAAAATGACATGCATTTTGACTTCAAATTACACTTAAACTATAGGCCTGCAGAGAATGTAGAGCTGATACCCCCCAAGACTCTTTAGGACCTGTCTGAAATAAACATCTTTCACCTTTCTGTCTCAGTCTAAGGCTCATACTGGGCCATTCTTAACTTGTGAGGGCTGTCTCCAAGTCAAAAGAGCATTTCTAATGTCACCATCAACTGCTTACTCAGGGAGAAATACCCCTGGCCCTCATGCTATTTTTAAACCATTTGAAGCACACAGGAGCTTGCATAAAGACTTGAATGTATTCTTCATAAAAGCATATTATTGGGACTCACTCCTTTTTAAACATGAATGGTGTTGATGGAATTAGAAAAGGAAATGTTTCTTCACACGGACGGGGGAGGGGAGGACAGAACAGACTTTCTGCTCAGGTGATTCAGAAACCCTGCTCTCCTTCAAGAAGCAAGTGAACAAATTCTAGACTCTCTGAACTGGCAAGAAGGGCTGTCTTGTATTTGCAGCCTGTTGTGCATATTGACCTAACCTTGAACATCTGATACGCAAGCCAGCTGCTGACACTCCTTGTACTTATAACAGGTCCCAACATCACTTGCTGCCTTTTTTCTAGAAACCCCAGCAGAAATGCAGATGGCACATAGCCATGACATCATCATAGGCTTGGTATGTAAAGGAATGTCCTTTTGCTGAGCACCATGGCAAAGTATTCATGCTTTTCCCTAACATACTGTGCATGTATACATGCTTTATTCCTTCCACATCATAAAGCAGTCTAAATTGATCTCAATCTAAAACTATTCTTGATGCAAATACTTTTTCAAATAAGATCTCTAATCTTAAAATGTACTGTAGGAAGTGATTTATATACAGCACTAACATGTTTGTTTGCACAGTAATTAACTCTTTAAAAACAGAATCATCCTAGTGATACAAATTACAGAGCTGAGAATAATATTTATCTTAGTTACATGTGCAATTACAGCAAATATAACACTAAAACAGGATATTTTAAACAATGAATCAAACACTTTGATTCCAACTTTTTCTTTAGGTGTTAACTTTGGCTTGTGAAGTTGTAAGCTTGTCTTTAGAGTAAAACATTTTCCTAGTGACAGGGAGTTTTGTAAAAACAGGATTCTAAAATGTACAGAAAATCCCATATCTTCCAAGACAGAGCAAACTGGTAGTGGGGGAAAAAAACATCCTGTAACATTCAGAGATAAACCCATACCTGCTTTTAACAGGTGCTTTCCAAAACTATAACAAAATACACTTAAAATGTTTTAATTTAAATTTACCTCAAGCCTGTGAAAGCATCTTCACTAAAGGACCAAGGACCTTTAGTTAAGGACTAAAGGACCAAGGCAAAAGTATTTTTGCTGTATGCTTCCCTTGCGAGAGTATTTGGCTCTGAATAGCATGCCAGCATCGATCCCGCTTATCGATACTACTACTGACATCCGCATCAGCGATTGCCAAGCGATACCGGACAGAAACAGATGTTACTATCTATATCATTAAGCTTAAAGGTGCTGCAATGCATAAGCTACAGATCCCACCCCTCCCCCGACCCACAATAGCCTCGGAGAAGGACGAAAATTGAATATATGCAAACGTAAACAATACGTTACCCAGTGCCAGGCCCACATGCTGACCAAAGCTTCGCAACAAGTTCCGAGACCCTCTAACCAAAGCGGCCATGTTTCCTTCCCCTTGACCTCAGCGTCGCGGTGTCAACGCTCGAGTCAGGAAGTGACCACGGGGGTGGATGAGAGTGACACCGCCTTCAGCCCAATCAGAGGCAGGGTTGCCCACTATAGCCAACCAGAACCCGGGAGGGGCGGGATATCCTATAGCTTATCTTTGGAGCCGTGCGTCTTTGCGGGAGTTGCATGTCTGTAGAGTTTACACATTCAGGTTCGAAGCCAATTTAGAAAAGACAATTAGATGGATTCAAAGAGAAGCGGTTTAATAAATAATACCAAAATTCCACCAATATTAAATTAATTTACGAGGTTACCTTTCAGAGAGGTCTTACTTGGACTGTAAAGTTGTTGTGTCCTGTCTCTGGCTGGTACAGCGATTTACACCAATTTTTTTTATATCTGTTTTTTTTTTTTGCAGGCAGAATACGGAGTTCTTGTATTATTGGGGTTGCATGGCATTGAAGAAACCCAGCAACAGGATATTATTATCAGGGACTTGCAGGATACAAGTACAATAGCCAGCAGCCATATCACCCTGCAGCTCACAACTAGCAACCCACTGAAACTAAGCAGGTGTGAACCTGGTCAGTACCTGGATGGGAGACCTCCTGGGAAAAACTAAGGTTGCTGTTGGAAGAGGTGTTAGTGGGGCCAGCTGGGAGTGCTCACCCTGTGGTCCATGTGGGTCCTAATGCCCCAATATAGTGATGGGGACACTATACTGTAAACAGGTGCCGTCCTTCTGATGAGATGTAAAACTGAGGTCCTGACTCTCTGTGGTCATTAAAAATCCCAGGGCGTTTCTCAAAAAGAGTAGGGGTGTAACCCTGGCGTCCTGGCCAAATTTCCCATTGGCCCTTACCCATTGGCCCTAATAATCCCCATCTATGAACTGGCTTCATTACTCTGCTCTCCTCCCCACTGAAAGCTGATGTGGGTGAGTGTTCTGGTGCACTTTGGCTGCTGTTGCTGTCGTGGGAAGGGGAGTCCCCATTACCTGTAAAGTGCTTTGAGTGGAGTGTCCAGAAGAAGCACTATATAAGTGTATTATTATTATAATATCATCTCAGGTAAATGAGATCTCAGTACATCTCATCTCAGTCCATACCATCCCAGATACAATTTCCAGTATGTTGCAGAACTGGTCTAATTCAGTTTATTGCACATTGCTCCAAAGCTAAATTGGTTAGACCAGGTACTCTTCTTCACTCACCTGTCACTCATGGCCATCATAATGAAGTGTGGGTATGATGCCTGACGCTGCCTTTATTCCTTATTCATCATCCTCTGAAGGTCAAGGTGACATTAGACCAGTAGTGCTTTATACTTAAGTATGAGTCCAGATTTAGCACAGGACATGTGGACAGTGTCTTTTGTTGTTAACTAATAAAGAGCAAATGAATGGTTTTGTCTATGTGCAATGAAAACAGTTTTTGTAAAACAGCTTTATTAAAATGTTTCTGTAAGTCTCCATGCCACCACAGTTATTGAGTGATGTGATGATGGCATGAAATTGTTTTTATAGGATTTTAAAATACAGTTTCTATTGAGTTTTTTTTAAGATTGTGATTAGACATTTGCTGTACTGCAGAGATATTCTTTCTCCGTAGTCTGGGTAGGATTGTCAAAACCTATGTTTTTACGTGGATATTTTGGAAGATTTGAGGAAATATAGAGGTAAATTGAAGGATTCATTATCTGGGATTCAGGATGATGAGAGAAACCCAGGATCTGTTTCTCACAGCAGGACAGAATAAATCCTTAGCTTTAAATTTCTTTAAATTTAAAGTTTTTAGAGTGGTGGGAGTTTGGAACGTGCTACCCACCCGTGTTGCTGAAGACGGTGCCAGGCGAAGTCTTTGGATCAAACAAGTTTTTGCAAATAAGGGGGTTGGAGGGTGAATGACCTCCTCTCATTTGTCACCTCTCTTATGTGCTTTTGAAATAAAGGCACAGATGCACAGTCAATAACTTTACGCCTGCGCAGTGTGCAAGGGCACCGATCCCGGAAGTGACGCATCGCCCCTCTTCCAGGAAGAAGGGCAGCGGCGACCGTAGAGCTGCGTCAGTGACGGTTTACCAAGGTAACTGGGGTTTTACTTCGATTTCACATGGCGAACGGTTGTTGTGTGGTTATTCGTTAATGTAGTTGTGTTCTGTAACGATTATTAGTGTTAGTCCTTTTACGTGGCAATGTAAAAATTGTGTGGGATTTGGGTTACGTTATCATTCCCAGTCCAGCAGTGACGAACCACAGGCTTAGCCGTGTTTAAATAACAAGCAGAAGGGGAAGAAATTGAAGACAAACGTTTTGGAGCTCAAACTTTGATTGTAGTTCTGCTTGGGTTGCGAAGGGATTTTAATGTTGAAAGTCAGTATTAATGTTTCAACTATCGGACTATGGACTATGGATTCGGCCGTAAGGCCCTTAGGAACATGAAATAAACTTTTTATTTCTGCCCACCACTTGTATTGAAAAAGAAACTAAAGTCGGTTGTTGTCTGTCCTTGGACCGTTTGGTTTCGATATTTGTTTTGACCTTTGAGTTTAATTTTGTTTTGTTTACATCCATCGATAAGCGATCCGAGCATGCTGGCGTGTCAGTTAACAAGCTTTTTTCAGGAGGAGACTGGACTCCTAGATTAGTGAGATGTTTAATATCTCTTCAGGGTGCGTTGCTTTAACAGCCTCGGTCGCCGTGGGACCCTGCTGTTGTTGATGTTCGGTAGTAACGAAAAGTACGAAACCCCAACAACTCGAATAACGAGTTAATAATAATTATTATTATTAACTCGTGAGCGTCTGCGGGTCGTGACGACGCTGTGTTGGCGGCTGCACTGGCCAATCGCAGGCCAGAGCCTTCAGTGGTGTTTACCTAACGGGAATGTCAACAGTGGCCCCGGACCAATAGGGGGGTCCGGGGGGCGGGTCCGTCGAGTCTGAGCGAGTCAGGCTGGTGTTGCTCATGAGCGTCTGGGAAATTCTGTTGGTGATGAACTGTCATGATCTGCACGACTGGGGAATTTCGGCAGCTCTGTCGGCGAAGGTTACACAAAACCTTTGAAACCCACCTCACCCCCCCCAATCTCTCGTTTCTGTCTGCGTGCCATTGTACTGTAAAATGAACGTGGTTTAATAGTGGACGTTGTGAACGATGATGCTTTTCAACTGATCTTTCGTTTTGAATCACACCTTAAGCGTTAAAACCTTTCATGCACATGCAAAAACCAAACGGTTATTTTAGTAGTTACTAAAAGACTTTACGTAGGCAAAGATGTTTTATGTAGGCATTTTTTATTTTTTGTAATTGGTTTCTAATGTTCCCAGCACTGACGTCTCGGCACTTAATGACTTGTCAGACGGATTCATATTTGTGATTGTTCACCTTTGCCCGGTGCTGGTAGGATTCCTGGGAAAACAGCTGATCTAGTCCTTTACGGTTTCTGGCTGAGTTGTTTTAAATTGATCCTGGATGGAAATTGTGCTGTTTAATCGGGCCCTACTTGTGCCAACGTGGCCAATGACAACCGAGTTGTTGCCAGTCCCAGCTAGGAGCCTGTCGACTCTGAACGATCTCATCTCCAAGCACACCACAAACTGTTGTGTCATGGTCTGTGTTGGAAATCTGAGTTGCAGTGTAGCAGATAGGGGAGTCTTCAAAACCACCACTTCTCTTTATGGGTTCTTTGAATTCATTTTATAATCACTCTGTTTTGCGAAGTACAGTCCATGGAATGATACTGGTGTACGATAGGTTCTGCAGTTGTGTGATATGATAGTGTGATGAGTTGTCACGTGATTAAACATTGAGGACAGCTCTGTGCTTAATCCTAATTGAGGAAGTGAGACCTTGCTGGATGAATGTGACTGCAGGTTGCCGAATGAGTAAATTTCTTAAATGACATGATTCTCATTTGGTACAATGCAAGGCTTACCTTTTATGAGTTTGTATATCAATTCTGTTATTAATTTTAGGGTACAATTAGACAGTGAAGGGTTCTGCTCTGATATCTAATATCTGTGAGCTCTTTTTACAAAATAGATCATGAAAGCTTTGTGTTAGATGGGGATGTTTTTCATGGAATGCTAAACTGTTAATTGCTTGGAGATGACAAAGTAGATTCTTTGGGAAATGAGTTCTGTAGTTCTACATGGGTAAAGTACACCTAGTTTACAAAAATGAAACTCATGCGACTGTCCTCTAGAGATAAGTACTAACCAATGAAGAACATCAGGAGAGAGTCAGATTTCTGTTCTGAGCTGCTTTGTAACTAGACAACATAACTGCACGCAGGACTCTGCTTTGATGACAAAGATAAACTGTCATCAAATTGCACTAAATCAGAACACACATAACCTTCAGGATCGAGGTCACACAGATCTCTTCCTTTGAAAATCTAGTCAGCCCTTTTAAAAAGCAAGATTAAAAAAAAGTTCTTTGCTCATGAAATCTCTCATGAAAGACCATTCACATGGACATTTAACAGTGGTGACAGGACTTGATTCCATCAAATTGATTCTGACTGAATTAGGTGTGATCATGAAACTGATTTCGCTTACTATGTAAGGAGCTCTTTTAACTCTCATCTAAAGAAAGAAAGTCTGAGAATAAAAAGGCTCTTCCTGCATATCCAGTCTTTCCTTTTGACATGGAACAGTTCCTTTATGTCACTGAACTGTACAGCTAATTAGCAGAGATCTGCAGGGCTGTATTGTACTTGCCATCTGTTTCTCATACCATTAGTATCTGAGGTTGCTGAAAAAATATAAAATATCCTTATTTTTTTTGGTAAGAATTAAGTGGAGGTTGTGAATATTCAGAGCCTTGAGTACAATGGTAACAGGTGAAAGAATACTAGTAACTAGTAGCAAAGATGGTGAAGTAATTTCCACTGCTTCCCATTTGCTGGACTGTGCTGTGTGTCCACACCCCTCCTGTGTGCGTTAACAGGATCTGAAGGATGAGAGCCGAACACAGGAGCCCTTCCTCGTGGGTTCGACACAGCAGCCGACAGGTTTTAAAACTTATCCTGGAGTTGGAACAGAACTTTTTACTAGATGGGAAACTAGTATAACTTAAGCTGGACTGGAACTCTAACTTCAAGTAATGAAGCACGAGGGAATTCCTACACAATACCCCCCCTTAGCCATGATATACTGCTTCATCACTTCAGATCTTACTGTAATTGCTGACGTTTACTGTGCTCTTGGCAGTCTTGTGTGTCCTATTAATTCAGGCTTAGAACTGCAGTACTTAGCTTAATAGAAACAACAAAATAGCTATGATTGTAAATCACGAGCTGCACCATAAGCAATTCCAATGATTACAAGATGAAGCAGGCTACATCAAACATAAGAACAACAAACATATATCCTGGTCTTTCAGGCAAACTACCTTGATTTATAAGTTGGTACTATAATTTCTAAATCTTTAAAAAACTTTTGACCTTGTTTATAAACTTGTAATATATTTTTCGGACCTATTTGGAGTTACCTGTGTTTTTTCCGGTTGAATTATTGACCCTTAGTGGGGTATAAGACAAGCCTGACTTGGCCTCAAGGCAGTGCTGTCACCCGAGCAGAGCCTGAGTCTTACACTTTACCGGCATCTCTTTGTGATGTGGATCACACATTTATTGTTGCTTTTTTTCTAAGCTTTTTTCTTCCTTTTAGAACTCTTTTGGTAACATTTCCAAATGCTCTTTTCTGGTATTCTAAAACCATGTTTGTTTGCCATTTTATTTTAGGACATCCAATTAAATTAAAAACCAAGTGAGGATGAAAGGTGGCTTGAACTGAATATTTGTTTGTAGGGGAATTATGCAGGGTAAGTTAATAAATACACATGAGCATTTTTTTAAAACCAAGATGATCTCTTCTGGTCAAAAAGAACATTGAAAAGAAGTAAAAATAAACTCAGTGCAGTGCAGGTTCAGGTTGATTTAGGTGATGTCATACAGTCACACATGTTGATGCATTTTGCTCTTCTCCTTTAGCCATTATTCCATGTCAGTTTACTTGATTTGATAATGCAGTATTAATCAGTTTTTTAAAGGGCTTTGCATAAGAGAAGACACACATTCTGTTCTGTAAGTATCCGATCTGTTACAGTAAGACAAACTCCTGAAAGCAGTTCGGGTAGGGAGCTGGGTCAGCATGCATAGGCTGCAAAGGAACATGTAAAGTTTCTTCCATGCTGAAAGGAAAAGAAAAGAGACAAAACGTTTCAGCTGTGGAGCCTTCTGCAGGTGTCAATTGAAGTCTTCACAGCCAAAAAGTTGTTTCATTTCTTTTCCTTTCAGCATAGAATAAACTCCAGAAAGGAATTATCGGCTTCTTGTGAACAATGTGTGGATGGCAGTAGCAAGCATGCAGGTTTCCATGTTGTTAACAGTTTGAGGTGTGGTTTCTCCTGCTTTATGAAATATGATGCTGATGTCCTGGACTCTTTATGACTTGGCTTGAAACACATTTTTATTTTTTATTTCACTGACATGATGAAGAATATAGCTTAGTCTTGCTGTGTAAGAGGTGGTGATTAATTTTTTTTTCTGCAAATGACAACATGAATAATTTGTGTGAAATGCAAAAAGCACAGTGTCCACGGCAGACATGAGAACAGTAAAATGATTATAAACAGGAGGAGGCCAGTCAGCCCATCTAGCCTGTTTGGTATACCTTATTGATCCAAGGATCTCATCCAGCTGTTTCTTGAAGGAAGCAAGGGTATTAGCATAGGTTTGACGCATTTACACAGTTCAAAGAGATACAGGACTGTAGACATCCCCGTTTATCAAATTGTCACATCTCCCACCAGTTACTTAAGGTAGCACATACAAATCTTGAATAACAATTAAAATACAGAAAATGACAACTTCAGATGATGACTAGAGATCTGAGGCCTAGGGATCTTATGAGATAATCCCTGCATTGGAGGGGGGCTTACCATACTAAATAAGGCATCAATTTGGGAATAAATCATAAATTCAGAACTTTGAACCAATTTCTTAGTCGGGAATACAATCTACTAAAAGCCTCACAGGCTCTACCCAATACAGGAATGGGCCCTGAGATGGTAATTTCTTTGTTTTTAGCTTATTTTGAAGTATTTGTAAATCTTCTGTTTGGATTTTTGATTGTGCCAGCTATATATCATGTGTACCAGCATGCACATCCACTAGGGAGAATTTTCATGCTGCTGATTTAGCTTGTTTATTTGACATGTAATATCATAAACTAGAGCCCCTGTGTAACATTTAACCACAAGTGTTGTGCCTCTTCCAACATGTTAAACAATGTAATCACCAGCTAACAACATTATCTATTTATGTATAAAGGTTCAGCATGTTACCTGAGAGAATCATAACTTTTCCTTAGGGCAACTCTAGGAACAGAGGGAGCAGCCTTGGGCCTGAATGCTTTCTAATTGAACCTGCGTGTGTCTGAAGGAGTAGAGATAGAGGCCTTTAGGTAGAAATCCATCACAGGAATAGGAATTTAAAGCATCCCTTCTGGGAAGTGGTCTGAATAGTATAAAACTTCTTCTCTTCAAAGCTTGAATTCACTCAATTTACAAATGCTTATTGACTTACTGTACACTCTTGAGGGTACAGATGTTATTTAACAATGTGTTACTAATGACAGCTTTTTTTGAAAGAGTTGTTAATAACAGAAGTGAGTTTTTGCATCATAAGGCATGTTATTGAAATCCCCAATGTTTAACCAATTGTTTTACCCATATACTAGAGCATAACCAGCAATGATTGCACATACGTGTGGTAATACATGCATAAAATTCCCTCTTATCCTGAAGATACCACAGTTTGCTGGTATTTTATTGTGATCCTGATGTTGCCGTTTTGCATACAATTTGAAAGTGAAACTGCAGGAGACCAGAGGCAGACTGGCACCACATGGTGAAGATCTAAGCAAGGAGGCAAACCGATGCAAAACTGGGGCTCTGAACTGGTTTGGATTGCTATCGTTCCCTCCAGACTGGAGCTGAACCACTGCTGAATAACTGAGTTATTAAAAAAGTTACCAGTCTGTGGGATTTATTTTTTAAATGTCTTGTGTTGATCAGTTAGTTATGTTTAGTTACACATGATTAGTTATATTTTATAAAACATCTAATTTGATTCATAATCAATTTGGAGTTTTCTTGTTTACAGGTTCCTTTATAGTTTGTGGGGTTATTGTTAAAATTGTTTATAGAAAATGCAACTGACTGGCCGGGTAGGGTCACAACATGATGGCAACATGGAAAGCGTTATTGTTAGTAATCTAATAAATTAAGCAGGTGGCTTAAAGATGTTTTTGAATACAAAAATTAGCCTCTTATCTCTGTGGGGTTCTGTTTAATTGTGAAGGTTGTATTTGTTCATACTGTGTCATAATGGGGCAGTGTAAAATAGTTGTTATGCCTCATAGCTGGACAGTTGGGGGTTCGAATTCCCACAGTAAGCAGCTGTTTTAGCTTTGAGCAAGGTGCTTTACCCCAGTTGCTCTAGTCCCCCCAGTTCTCTGAATTGGACCCGGCTTTGCTGGGGCTAGTGCCACAATGGACAGGCCTCCAGTCCCACTAGCTGGCTCCCCGCTGTGGCAACTGGGATGAGCTGCAGCCTGTGAAGATTTGTTTTATTTAAGAAGGAATCGGAGGCTTTTTGGCCAGTCTGGGTCATGTATGCAAACCATTCTGAGCCACTTTAATTCTGAGCAGATTTATCTCACAGGTAATTCAGAAATTATCATTTGATTCCCTGGATCGAGAACGATTTTTATTTCAACAGACAGTTGTTGCAAAAGTAAAATAAATTCCCAGTGAATAATATTGTTCCTTTATTATTTTTTAAACAGAACTATTGCGTTTCGGAATGGCACATTTCCTTGAAAGTCCGTCATCCAGTAGCGCTATGGAAACGTCCAACTTTGCCCATGTGATCTTCCAAAACGTGGCGAAGGGCTACCTACCCCACGCTGCTCTCGAGTGCCATTATACTCTCACCCAGTACATTAAGCCTCACCAGAAGGACTGGGTTGGCATCTTTAAGGTAAGGATGCTTTTGCTTTGTCTTGCTTTCGATTTTAGTATGCATGGCTATGTCTGTTTATAACACAGGCTGCTGCGTGTTTGATCACGTCACTTGTGCCAGCGAAGCGTTATTCGTCCGCTTGCCTCATTTGTAAGTTCATGCCAAAAATGTATGTAGGTTTAAATGTATATTTAAGTTGTCATAGGATAGAGTGAAGCATTAAAAGCTTGTTTTACTCAGAGTTTTATGACATATGAGTGATAAGCTCTCTGGGCTCTGGTCTTGCTCCCTCTGAACTTTGCTAAAAGATGCATTTGAAAATGCTTATTTAGAGCACTGCCTTTTTTAAAGACAGTGAAAGGAAAAAGATGCCCTTTCCTTCTCTGTAATCTATAGTAGTCTAGACTGAAAGCCTGGCAGCCTGTAGGCAGTGGAATGGTGACTAGGTGTAGTGATGTTCTTTGACAATGTATGACAGGAGTTCTGACCTGCCGTGGGAGCAGCAGACATCTTTGCTGTGCATGTCCACCGTTCTGCCTCCCTGAAGCTCCTGCCGCAGTGCCTCGTTGTGCCTTGCCTCTCCACAGACCTGCCAGCTGCTTCAAACAGGGCTACAGCGGTGTTCAGGCTCTGTTGGACTTCCGAAAGAGGATAAAGGAAACATGAGGACTCTGGCTTCGCTCGTTATTTCACCGCAGGGGGCGGCTCAAGCACGAGAAAGCTTGACAACACCCCTCAAAGTGCAGCCAGCTAAACTCCCTGACCTCTCCGCGAAGTCCCATATATTTTCCCCCAGAGCTGTGGAATAGGGACTCTTATTACTGTAGATGTGAGGGCGGTTACTTCCTCCCCTGTCTGTGGTATCTGATGGCTCCACACCCTCGGAGGCACTGATGCATAAAGCATCCCTGGCTTTCAGAGCCCAGGACTGTCCTTCCAGCTCATGGCTGCTGTGCTGCCCCTCCACAGCGCACAGATTCAGACAGGGCCACAGATTTACGTCTTTCCTCCCGTTTTCTGTACTCCACCAAGATGACGGTGCTCAGGGAGAAAAACAGACCAGCAGCGGACAGTTTTTGGCACTTTTACATTCAAAACATTGTTTGGATGATTGAAAAGGGATAAACCTCCCTTTGAGGACGTTCCCTCCAGACCCCACAATGCCTTTTTTTCCTCAGCCTTGGTCTTTGCAATTATGCTGGTACTAACATGCGCTCACGTGCACGAGTAAATTACTGTTTACAGAAGAAAAACATGAAAAGACTACTTTTTCCAGCAGTCCAGTCTTCAAATCTGGCACGGTGGTTGTTTCTATACACACCTGCGTTTCTGTATTTGTGGATGCTTGTCATATTGATGTACTCTTCTGTGTTCCACTGAAATCATGATTCATCTGGGAGAAAGAGGACCTAGAACAAATACTTTTGGCACTTTAAAATAGGATGTGTCACCTGAACGATAAAAAAAGTTGTTTGTATTCCAGAGATATCTCCACCATTTTTTATCAGGGGTTGCTATCTTAATGAGGACATTTTTCACACATAGATAGAAATATATAAATACTAATGTGTATTTAATTTAACATGAGACTGTGGTCAATATTAGTGCTAATAGGTTAACATCTGCTACAAATATTTTTATTTAGAGCTTTCTGATTGGTCAGATCAGTTCCCCTCTATAATGCTCAATAGAATTGTGTTGAGAAAGCTCTATTCAGTAGAGATGGAGCAAGACTTACAGTAGTTTTACACCTCATTCCATGTCCAGTCTACCAGCCACTGCGTTACCGTCCAAAACAACAATTACTGTTTCCTCCTCAGATTGCACAGCATAGCGAAGGGGTTCTGTGTTGTAAATTTGAATTGCTTTTTTAAAGTCTTTTGAACGTTAAGTAACTGTAGAGTTTATCATTTTCAAAATAATGGTTGTTGTCTGTGTGTTTTCATATGTCTGAATGAAGTGGGAGCACAGAGGTAAAGTAATAGTTGTGGAAAGTCAGAAAGTCAAGAAAATTAATCATGATCATCACGGAAAACGTCTTGAAATAGCCAGAAAACTGCTGAATTCTAGATTAGGTGCTAGTTATGATGAATGTACATCCAGCATCATTACATTAATAAATGATAGCATATGACCTATTTCTGGTGGACTAGACACATTGGTAAATATTTTAATATAAAATATGAAGGTTGGCAAAGAGGTTGACGGTTTTGGCCTTACTTTCCTGTTTGCAGTTTTACAGACTGTTATGAGTGCAATAATTTATGAAATAACCTGCATCAGTTCTAGAAGACTAAATTAAAGAAATTATGTATTCTCTGGTCTAATGTCACACACGCATCCAGGAAATATTTCTGTTTAATCATACAAGAAATTTGCTATGATGATAAAAGATGAGAGTATAGTGTACTTTATATTGGTTACACTTCCTCTTACAGTGGCAGAGAACGTTGCGTGGTTATAGCAGATAATAATAATTCTAAAACAGGGTGGCGCAGTGGGAGGATCTCAGAACTGGGACCTTGGGTAAAGTTTGTAGGGTGCTGTCTGTGTGGAGTGTGTATGTTCTCTCTGTGTTCACGTGGGCTTCCTCAGGATGCTCCGGTTTTCTCCCACAGTCCAAGGACATACTGGAAGGTGAGTTAGCGTCTGGAAGAGTTGGCCCTGGTGTGAGTGAGCTTGTGTGTGTGTGTCCCCTGTGAAGAACTGGCATCCCAGGGTGTATCCTGCCTGGATAGGCTCCCCTCCCCCTTCCCCAAGCCCTGTGCTGGATGAAGAGCTTTGAAAATGGAATAATTTCAGAAGTTTCAAAGCTCAGTGCCAGGAAGTGTGTAAGAAGAGCAAGCATGCTATGAGAAGGTCATTCTGTAGATTCAAGAGGCTTGTCACACTGGAGGAGTGTAGTGTATTTGTTAGAATAGCTGAAGGCAGGAGGTTAGATACTTGCATCAGGTACCGTGGTGGGTGGTAATGTGTATAAGGAATATTGCATACAAAATCAGCTAGCACAATCTTCTTTCTTTAAAAATAAAATGCTGTCTTTTATTTTTAACATTAAGTTGGCATTTGAGAGTTGTCAAGGTTAGGAAATAGTTTGCCGACTCTCCTTATTAAAATAAAAGTCACCCTCCAAACAAAGCTCCTCTGTTTGAGGAGGCTCTTCTGTTTCTAGCAGAGAAATGGGAGAACAGCCAGAGTATGTGCTGCCAACTGATAAAATAAGTATACAGTTCAGTAATGTTCGGAGAGCCTGCACTTATAACAATAAATCTCGAAAGAGAACACGCTGAAAGATGTGTGCTGTGTGCAATGCAGTTGTATCACAGTTATCAAGGATACCTGTGCTGTGAGTCACTGGCCTGAAGGGAGGTTTTGCCAAAGAAAGCTGCAGTGCTTGTAGTTTGTAAGTTCACACTGCCCCCTAGTGACTAAAGATGCTCTAGGGTGACGCGTACCCTAATGTGGTATTCAGGACTGAATGTTCCAGTTGGAATTGGAGTATTTTTCAGACTGTTCTAGTGTCCATGGACCCCAGTTCTGTGTGTTTTTCTGGTGCTGGCACTGGAGAAAAATTATTATTTTAAACTTTGGTTAAATTGTTTTCCCCCTCTAATAGTTACACTGTAAAGGAAGATTCATGTCATTTGTTCAGCTTTGTGCAAGCTCTTTGCCAGTTTTTTTTTTAAAGCTTTTTCAATATTTTTTTGTGACTTAGTATTCAAAATTTGTTTTTCTTAAGTTAACCTTCTTGACTACCAGAAGGTTTCTTTTTACCTTGAGCGGTGTACTTCTGTACCAATACGTTGATGTTATGTTGTAAAATGTCTGTACATAAAATACGTTTCTATTTAGATCTCTGCTACCATACAGGACCTGTTTTACCAACTAAGTTAGAAGTGTGTGTAGGATTCCAAAAAGTATTCAGGGACTGATTTTTCCTTCCTTTCTGTGTGTCTGGATATACTGTGTCTGGCCTGTTCCCGTCTGAACGTGCAGAAGCTACATCAGTTAGCTCTTTGATGTCGTGCAATAGGAAAAGTTAAAAGCGACATCATGAGAGTTCTGAAGGAGAGCTGGGAGTGTTGCCTGGGAGGGCTGGAGAAAGCAAACATGTAATTTATAATTAAGCTGTCACAGTGCTGCAGAACCACTCAGTACAGAATGACTCATGTGGAGTTGAGAGTTTTTTTCCTTATATCTTGTAAATACATGTTGCTCAAGGACTATTGCATGTTAATAATATCTTTCTTTGAATTTATAATTATATACAAAGGAAATATTTTTGATACAATGTGATAACACCCTATGAAGCTGCAAAGGAAGTATTGGAGCCCCATTTGAACTCGTGTAATTCTCCTGGAATAGGATAAATGTGTTAAATTAATGACAGAATGATGTCATACAGTATATAAATGAGTATGGGTTATTAAACATTATGCTTAATCAATTATTCTTTAAATTATACCATTACTATAGATAAAAAATCATTGTGTATTAGTCATATTGTAACATTTCTTTGCATTTGAACAGTTGCTATGATTTTCATATGCAACATTTAATAATTAAAATATTTTCAGGTAAAATGTTAAAGTTGAATAACACTTAAAATGGGTTACTGTATTGATGTTACCTCTAACATATCATAGTCTTATTATTACTCTTAAATACCCTTAAGTATTTTTTCTTTCAAAGTTAATAAGTAGCCACTGAAATTATTAAAGTAGGGAGCTGCTTTAGCATGCGTAGGCTGCAAAGGAACAAGTAAAGGTTTATTCTGTGCTGAAAAGAGAAGAAAGGAAACAGCGTTTCAGCTGTGGAGCCTTCTTCAGGTGTGAAGTTAAGATTCACAAATAGCTTGTGTAGGTGTGGTACTCTTTCAGACATGTTCTAATGTTTTGAAGAATTAGTAAGAATGTGGAGTTGTGAAAAACCTAAAATAACTTTGCTTAAATCTGTTTTATTGTTTTCAAGCCCCCTGAAAGTGAAACATCATAAAATTAAACAATGCTACACTGGTTAGGTGAATATTGTTAGTATGCATTTGTAATTTATTATACCACACAGCAGTGTTACCAAAAATACATTTTCTTCAGTATTATTTCTCCAATTCCAATTCAATATCGGTCTGTATCTGGAACAAATTAATATTTTTCCCTTGTCTGCTTGCCTTACTGTGTGTTCTTTTTAGCTTCCTGTTAAAAAAAATCTCTCTGCTTTGTGAAATTATTTTGCAGTATAGAAATGCTGGGTGTATTAAGTCTTTTCAGTAGATTTTGCTAAGTTTGAAAATGCTATTAGACTTTGCTTAAGCCAAAAAAGTCCAGTTTTTACTTGGGTGTGAAGATCATTGTAAATCTGTGCCCTTATGCCTTTAAGTGAAGCTGACAGCTTTATGATTGAGGGTTTAAATTATGGATGTATTTTTTGTGCTTCCCCTCATCAGGCATCAGTTAACAACACATAAAAATTATATAATTACATCTTTGTTTCTGTTTTGAAGTACATGTAAAATTTTCACCTATTTTTTTTCCTCCTCTTTTAACTCTGCTTCAAGAAACCAGCCCCAAACCTCACTGGACCACATTTTGGGAGCATATACACTTAGCTCTTACAGAGACATTAATTATTTTTGTATTTTTATGATTGCACCTAGGTTTTTTTCCACTTTATGAAGTAAATATCTCTTTTCAAAATTTAAAAAAAACTGTAAGATAGATGTTATTGTGATTATGATATAAATAATCTATATATTTTTTATATTTACAAAAAATAATACTACCTATGGTACCATTGTCACTTAACTGATCTGATTTGATGTTGAGACATATTTGTTACAAACCTGTATTGTGTTTTTATGGTTCCCTTTGGGTTTGAACTGTATACATTTTATTATGATAAATCTATTGCTGTACAGTTTTATTTTTGCATCGAATATGTCTTTTTTTCTGAAAGATGTGAACATGTGTCTCTAAGTTTTTTATAGCTGACACGAGGAGATCAGCGCCTGTGTAATTAAGGCCGGTAATGGTGTTGTTTTCTTTTCTCTAGGTTGGCTGGAGTACAGCTCGAGATTACTATACTTTCTTGTGGTCACCTCTTCCTGAAAACTATGTAGAAGGAACCTCGGTTAACCGTGTGGTGGTATTTCAAGGTAAGTTGTAATTATATCATTTCAAGTCTCCTCTACAAGCAAGCCCTTATACAACTTTGAAAACCTATATTCCTTTTAAGGATTATATTGAAAACAATAAATAAATCGTACAGGAGACAGCGACTGTAATGCTAGTTAAGGGTGTTAGACTAAAATAGTTCTGGATGGAGTATGTTGGTTTTTTTTGCAGGGTACTACGTTCCCAATGATGACGGAGAGTTTTACCAGTTCTGCTATGTCACTCATAAGGGTGAAATTCGAGGAGCTAGCACCCCATTCCAGTTCAGAGCCAGTTCCCCGACTGATGACCTGCTGACCGTGGAAGATGAGAACAATTCTGACATACTGGTAGTCACAACAAAGGCGGGCTTCCTAGAGGTGTGCTCTTCTGAATTATGTTTTTTTTTTTTAAATGCAGCTCTGAGCTTTCGACCCAGGTGATTCTAGGGAAACTGGGTACAGTAAGCAGGTGGCATCCTTGGATGATGTAATGTAGAATTGACACTTGATTTTATCAATTTAAATTTGACTCTTGCCAATGGAAAACACTCTTGCCTTTTTCATGTTCATGCAAAATTCTTAGCATTAATTACTTAATCAAATATTTTGCTTATTTAAAATGTCATCATGATTTCCAGTTAATTAAATTCTGTCTGGAACATTTTAAATTAGGTAAATACCATCTACGAAACTGTTTACTAGTGTTTGTTGTGTACTAGGTGCCGTACGCACTTCAAACCCTCCTGTAGGTTTGTTGTTATGTGCTCTTTCTGGTGCAGTTCATACAGGAAACAAGAACAGTAATAAGATGCAAAATAAGATATAAACGTTCTTGTGCAGCTGCATATTACTTTACTGGTGTGGTGTTTTAAATAATCCTTTTTTGACCTGATGTTCTTTTCATGTAGTTTTTTTTTAGTTAATCCGCTGTCCTGAGGCTTCAGGCTATGTTTAGATGCTGCCTGTGTTCTGTGTTCTGTGGCAAGTGCCACAGGCTGGGCTACCTAGCACCCTGCTGAAGCAGCTCTTCTGGGAGGGTGACATGGTAAAGTCAGCTGAGTAGAACAATAGGTTTTCTTCTTGCATTTATTCTCCTGAAGTGGATTTTAACCTTTAGGGTGATGCTGTAGTGGGCAATATGGTGTGGTGGGCATAGGTGAGAACTCGAGACTTGACTGCAAATCTCTTGACATCCACGGTCGTCAGAGGTTGCTTGGCCTTTGTTACACTAGACTGGGAATCCTCCTGGTTTACTTTTGTGATTTAATGTGCGTGCAGCAAAAAATTGAAGAAGCAACGAAAGAGAAAGAGGAGCTGCTGAAGGTGCTGTCTGTGACTCGGAAAGATAAAGAGCAACTTCAGGAGCAGGCGGAGCAGCTGGAGAGGCTGTGTGAGCAGGCGCGGGAGTCCTTCGCCCAGCTGAGCAAGGAGTGCCAGGTAAGAGGGGCAGATTTCACACGGGAACCTGCGTGGCAGAGAGCTGCTGGCCAAACAAACTAACGGAGGAAATAGCGGAGGTTTTTTGATATGGGTTTTCATTCTCAGAAAGATGATTTAGTCAGTTCAGAGCTATGTTTGATATCGACTCTAGTGTAAACCAGACCAATGGATTTATTATAGAAAGACCTCCATGATTTATAGTAGCATTCGTTTAAATCCAGTCTTGTGCAGCACTAAGAGCCAGTGGTGCTACAGTACATAGCTGACCTAACTGGTCATCTTTTCTTATGTAAATATACTGCAAATATCTGAGCTTTATTTTGTCTTGCTGACTTGATATTTAAAGTTTGTTGGTTTGCCTCTTTAACCTTAAATGTGGGTCATTTCATAAGAACATAAGAAAGCTTACAAGCAGAAAATTGCTTGGAGGATTTCCTTCAACCATTTGTTGAATAGAGACTGGATATCTGCTTCAGCATGATGGTTGGATCGCTTGTTCCAGACAAACATGTCATACTCTTCACTATCGCTTTCTGTTAGCCGTCTTTCTTTGATTCTGATTATCTCTTAATTGCATACTAATTTAGTAGCTTCTAGCTCTTGTGTTTTTTAATTTTGTTCCCAAATACCCTTGGCATTTAAATATAAGCACTTAATTACTGGTCCTTTGATATTTTGTTTCTCCCTGGTGTTCTCTTTCTAAGAGCTCCCTGCTTTTCTGGATCCTTCCCCCCTTCATTCTAGTTTTCCAGTTTAAATAATTTTCATTTCTTCTGAAGTTCCTTTCCCCAGGATGATAGCATCCCATCTCACTCTGGTATAATCCATCATATCTGAATACATAGCCTTTTTCATAGATATAAGTGGGGAGGGAAAGCTGAAGCCCTTTTTATTTTACAGTCTCTTTGGCCATGGGGTGTTTTATGCTGTAATTTAAGTCCATTTTATTTTGATAACATTTTAAGAGGGCACAACCTGAAGCTCCATGAAAATGCATTTAAATCTTAGCACAGGTGTCAGTTCTTTATGCAAAGGATTGTGGAAATAAACAACAAGCCTCCCAGACCTGTTGTTGAAGCAGATACCCTGAGGAAAAAGCTAGGTGAGATTCTTGGATCAATTAACTACTAACTTCCAAACAGGACAAGCTAGATGGTTGAAATGGGACTCTCTCATTTGAACCCTTTCCTGCTCTAGGGATTATAGTGTAATTGAAATAATATCTCGGAATATATTTTTCAGATGTTACAAAGTGACATTTTCAAAATCAGTATGTGAATTGTTTTTGACTGATGAATTGTCACTTTTTAGGCCTACATTTTATTGCCGATGTTCTTTGCTACTTTTCCAGTACACAACCGAATACAAAAGCATTTAACTTAATGGCCAGCTGTAATAGGTGATGTCATTTAATGACAAAGTGCTGGGCTGTGTGGGGCACTTAACGTTTTATTGGCCCCTGAGTCCTGTCCGTCAGTCTTTGTTGCCTTCCGGTAATTCTATGAGCCAGAGTGTGCTCATAGTCTGTCAGCGTGCTCGTTCGACTGGTAACTCACAAATCTCAAAACTTCAAAACCAGTTTGGCTGTAAATACTGTGAATACCTACCAGTAGCTGTTTTTAAACTGTCCAGAGGGTTCTGTGAGTCATGTGAATGGCTCGGTGCAATTAGCAGTTATAGCTCTGTGCAGAGCATTAAGATCCCACACTCCCACAGTGCAGCAGTCATGCCCTTTCAGCGTGCACTGCACAGTGCAATAAATGGAGTTTCAAAACTCACATGACCAGTCAAGAAAGGAAATAAGCAATAGGTTCCACAAAACAGCCCCGACATCAAGTACGTGAAAAACAAATAGAGCCTGAAACAGACATATTAACAAGTCTGGATTACTGACAGACCTCCACCAAAGAGTCTGCTTTGCGTTTGCTCACAATTGATGAGAACTCGGTTGCTCATTTCTGGGAACTATATGACCCAAGTAGTTAATGGCTGACATCATTGTTGTTGAACACTGGAAAAGCTATGCGAGACCATGTCCATGACTTAGCATTTTTAGATACCTGGCAAGTATTCATTGCCTTTACTTTTTATGTTTTTAGGATTATTGTGCTGTTAGATGAAAGATTCAGATATATTCACCATGATCTTAATTTGTGGTTTAATTGGCATACAATTCACAGAGCAGACAGTATACCTATAAATATTATCAATATAATTTTTGAAGTTTTGAAAACTTGCTAGGCAAAATTTTGAGACTTTGTGGGTGGTGTTATTTTCTTAGTCTGCTTTCTGGAACAAACTACTTCAGATTATTTACTAGTAAGTAGTGCATACAGTACTTTTTTGTTTTATAATATTCATCTATATAATATACTTAATTTATTTTTAAGTGTATGTATTCACAGTAGTTTTTTTCTATTTTTGTTGGAAATGTGTGCGGAGCTTGTGTGATTGCTCAGTGCTAAGTAGTCCTTTAGCCCCTCCTAGTGGATGATCCGTTTTCATTTCATTTTGTGACCTGAAAGTTCAAGGCTGATTTTGCATATTATGAAAATGGTTGCATGGCTCATTCTGTTGATAACTCAAAATGTATATATGAGTGAACCTTTTCTAAATGCTAAATTGAACAGAAAAAAAGTTTTTAGTTTGAAAACACTACAAATATTTGATAATAAAAATACAGGTCTCATATAAAATATATATAAGCTTTATTTTATATAGCACCTTTAAAGGTGGCTTTTCAAAGCGCTTTACAGAGTGACGACAACAATAAATGAGAAGAAAACACAAGATTAAACACAATTACAGTACACAGGGGAGACTGTGGGTGGTGGTACCAAGTATAGTAGGAACAGAGGGATAAAGAATGGAACCAGTTAAGTAAATAAAAGCATCTATTTAGAGAAAGCACTTCTGCTGATGTCTTAAAATGATTTTAATATGAATGCGTCTAATATCTTATAGCTTACTTAGGCCTTAAATGGAACTGTACATTTAAAAAAACTATCTAGCTTAGTAAGGCTGCATTGTAAATATGTTTCAGTGCTCGAAGGTAATTACACACTGCCTTTATAATTTACCTCAGTTTGCTGGAGTGTATATGAAAGGGAGACAGGTGAGGATATTGGCACCTTCTTTTTTCTTTTTGAAGACGTTTTGTTCACTACTACATTTAATGGAGGTTTAGTTAACTCATTGAGCACTGATTTAACTTACTGAGCAGTAGCAAGGAATGGAGGTAAATTCACTCCATTATGAATGTGTGGTGTTGCAGACATAATGATACTCAGAGCCTGAATTTAGTTTTCTTAGTAGTGATGAAGACACAAATAAAACAGCTCACAGATGAGAGGAGGCTGTTTAACAGCTTTTGTTTTTTTGTAGCTGATTGATCCAAGTGTATTATACAATTATAAATTTATTGTATAATTAATTAATATAATTTTTGGAAAAGGCACAGGATTGTCTTCAGCAGCATAGGTGGGTAGCCTTGTTCAATGCTCCCACTGCCTTTTGCGTAGAGAACTGTTCTTTTAAATGTACTTCTTCACAGTGGAGCTGCTATGTGCTCTGAAATGTGCAGTCAAGCGGGTGCTTACATTTTGCACTTTAAAACTGCAACATAAATGGTTGTTTAGAAGGAACCTGAGATCTGGCAGTGGCCTCAGCCAGCGCCAGCCCTCATTCCTCAGCCCACTGCTGCGGAAAGTGGCCACAGCCGGTGATTGAGCTGTTTTCTGCAACACTTCATTGGTGTTGAAGTTGATTTCAAATGATCAGAAATTAATTATTTTATGAAAAACTTTCAGAAAGCAAGTTTCTTTGTGCTTTCTTGAATGCTTGTTTTTTTGTGTAATTTGGAAGTTATGATGCTGATCTTTAGTCCTGTGTTTTAGTCTTTTGATTTGAAAGCTCCAAACTTTTTATTTGAAGGGTCTTGAGATTTCCTGACCCTCAGTTGTGCTGCTTTTTCTCATTGTAGGTATATGTTCTGCTGCCAAGTATGTTTCACCCTCAGTGGGGCAGCAGACCTTGCCAGTTTCTTAGATTTTCTGTATGATTAATTTAGGAAAAAAAACGTTAACAAGTTCCAACAAGGTAAAATATGTCCTACATGGATTCTTGGCATCTGTGGCTGTTGGTTTTAAAGCACAGAATAGGGCTGCCTTTTGTAAAGATTATTTGAATAAGAAATTATCTATATAAATTATGTAAAATTGTGTATTTTATGTCTAGGAAAAATTAAAGGGGGTGTTCTTTACGGCTCATGAAATAATGTTAAAGAGCAGTGTTTAACAAAATGTGATGAGAAGGCTTGATAACATAGCTCATCTTATTTCTCCATTTCTGCTGAAACCAAGAAGCTTTCAGGAAACACTTCAGATGTCTGAAAAAAAAATCCTTTACTATTTTTATATTAGTATTTAATCTATTTACCATGAAGGGATCTTTGTGTCACTGGGTTAGACTTTTCCCTCAAGGCTTATTTTACAGAGCTGCTGGCATACACCACTCTTGGCTAGAGCAGCTTCAGAGCATGTAGAGATATCCTGAGACAGCCCATCTCTGTGCCAGTCTTTAACACCTTCTCTTCGGTGACAGAGTGAGTCCTTCAAGGACTTTTGAAAGTAAATTGTCCTTCACTCCTAGTAATTTGCTGCTGTGCCATAGTCAAGGGATGAGATTTCAGATTTTAAATGCTGTGCAAGAAATTAAAAACTATGTATCTCAAGGCTACATTGAGCCTGCATTTACAAAGCAAACAAAAAAAAATAAAGTAACAATGTTTGTAGCTGTCACTTGCACACCATTAGAAACTGTTCATTGTGTATTTTAAATCAAGTAAACTGTATCTACCCCCTCGATTAAAGATGGCTATAAACAGTAACAGTGAGGACAGAGGGCCTGAGTGTGGACTATTGATGTAATGTCACCTGCTTTACCCTGTGGTGCCCGGATTGTTTGCGTCTGCGCTCTCTGTGATGAGTGTGATGCCTGGTAGTTCATCAGTACACGTCCCTCTCCTGTTTGCACCAGAGGAGGCTGCACTGAGAGGACTGATGTTTTTGAGAGTAGCAGTGTGGCAGTGCAGAGCTATTTTGACTCATGATTCGGAGCAGCTTGCTGAAGTTTTACATTGGATTTTCCCATTAGGTAACCGAGCTGTCATGTAACAGCAGTGTACATTTCATCTTGGTAGCCAGCGGAGTTGTCAGTTTTCGCCACTCTGGTGTAAAAAAAAAAAAAACACGGTCCGGCACACAGATCCTGATTTTCTTCCTGTTTATTGCGATGAAGTGAATAATTTGGCTGTTTTTTGTTAATGACCATGCAAAAGAAAAGTAAGACATTTTAGCTGGCACGTGCTGTTTGCTGAGACCTCCTTCTTTGGCTGCACCAGTACCACGAGGGGGACCATCATGAATCTTTAACAAATATTTTTGGGGTGAATTTAGTATTTCTGTATTTCTTCATGCAGCCATTTCCCGTTGTGAGTTTTGGCTGCTTTTCCCTACTTCTGTTTGTTCTACTGTAGATTAATTTTGGACCACTAATAAAATAATAGTAACATTATATAGTCCAATTCTTTCATTTTGAAATATAGTTTGTCAAACTCTAAAATGATTTTTTCTAAATCCACTGTTTTTTAGCAGCAAAAAATGGTCAGTATTGAAAACACCCAATTTGTCTCCACGCCAGTATTCCCAACATGTAAAGAACAGAGCAAGGGGCTGTCTGCTTCCACTGACGTGACACCTTTCTAAGTGGTGGCTCTGTGATTCTCCTGACTGTGCCTGTTTGCTGCTACTAATTGGCATACTTGTAAAAGAAAGGTGTAAGACGAAGAGTATAAGAAAAAAAAAATCCTGTTGATTTATGTTGTGATTCTAACGGCTTTCTGTGTGCCTGTATATATTTTTAGGTTTAATGCTTTAATGGTTTAATGATCAAAAATATATAAATTTTTGATCATTCTGTTTGTGGATGTTTATTTTTCAAGCTATTGCCATTTTACATTAATATCCTTTGTTTTCCTTTAATATGGACAGAGGACAGGCAAGACCTCGTAGAGGTACTTAAAAATGGATCTTCGGTGTTTTAAGTTGTTAATTTTAAAGGCGAAGTCAAGTCGGGGAAAAAAACAATTTCTACCAAATTGCAGTCGAGATCATATAATGTCATTGCATTGATATTGTGTACGTGCTCCAAAGCCTTTGTATACTGCCACTTGAGTGTCAACCATGAGTCGATTCAGTGTAGCC